ATAATCCCATCATTGATGAGAGGGCCTCATTTCTCACATCCTTGCCAACACAATGGAGACACTGAATTCAAATTCTGGCCCTGGAGATTAAGAGTTGCTTCTTTTTTCCCCCATTTCCTTAAGAAAAGAAAAATCCCTGGATCATAAAGGTAGGCATTCGACTCCCAATTTGCATCTGAAAATGCACGGATGCAATTCCGTGCACACAATTCTTTCACTTTACATTTGTTTTCTTATTTGGATGAAGTGTAAGAGCTGAGAGAATTTCTTTGACTCTAGAGGAGAAAAAAGAAACTAAAAGTTAAAGAAGTCCCTTGTGGTTTATTAGCTTTATAATACTTCAAAAATCCAGGGCTTTTAAAATCAGCACAAAGGCGTTTTTATTGTTTGACAGTTTGAGGGGGTCCTTATGGCCAGCAGGGGGCAGCATGACCCCACAGACAGTCAGGCTGAGCCTCCATTTGCCAACTGAACACGCTCTAGGCCTGGGATTTAGAACCTGTTCAGTCTGAAGCGCTAATTCACTTTGTTACCTTCACTGTCATCCCATGGTTGAAAACAGGCCGGCGTTCCTGAGTACAGAACAAGGCTTAGCGAAAAAATCAGGATAAATTAAAATGTGAAATGACAGCCAAGTGCAGGGTGGCACGGAATAAGGGGGAAGCATATTGTGAACATGAATAAGAATAGCACCATATTGACAGAACAGAATTTAAATATTTGATTATTCCAGCCACCATTTCTGGTATAAAGCACAGAAGCAATATCCTTTATTGGATTAATATATTTCACATATTAATGAAATTTAGTACTTTCTGAAATTTAGTATTAAAAATATGTCAAATAATATCTTCTATTCCCCTAGACTTAGGAGTTATTATTTCACCTTAAAAAGCAAATTAATCTGCTCCCTTAATATGAATCTATTCAACCAGCAAGTTCTGATTGAATGCCAGGTGCAAAGGATATGGAGTAGAGAAGACATGGGGCCTCTGCTCTTGCTGGCAAAGCAGGAAACCCCGGGCACCTGGGTCAGGGAGCTGAGGTTCTAGCTTTAGGTGAGGCACAGTAACTGGTGTTGTGGCCTGAGGCAAGTTACTTAACTTCTCCATGCCTCAGAAATGTAAATGAAACTAATGCCACCTACCTTATTGATCTCATAGGTACACATATAAAATGCCACATGCAAAGATGTCTGAAAAAAAGAGCAAGAGTATACAAATGAAGTATTTTAAAACCCACACTACAGTGAATATGCCCTGTGGCAACAGAAGTGGCCGCGTGGTGAGTTCTTATTCGCGCTGGGCACTGTGCTCAAAAGACGCATGATCGCAGTTAAGATCATGCCCTTGTGAGGCGAGTATCATTTTCCAGGTGAGGAATTCAAGGCGTAGGGAGGTTGGGAAGCTCGCTCAAAGTCAGACCGTTAGAGAGTGCTGGAGCAGGATTCAAATCCAAATGGGCCTCCAGAGTCCACCCTGAGGTGTGCCAGTCTGGATCTTTGTCATTGCTTACAGCTCTGCACTTAGACACTCTAAGTTTTGCTCCCTTAATTTTACTCAGAAGAGAACCAGCAGTTAGGTCACGGCCATCTCATGAAAAAATATTAAAATGTAAAGTTATGATTTTCCACACCTCAGTTTATTGAATCAATTGGTTTCAAGATCGTTCCATGAAATAATCTCTCTGTGAGAATGGAAATTGGAGGGGCACCTGGCTGGCTGAGTCAGTACAGCATGCCATTCCTCATCTTGGGGCTGGGAGTTCAAGCCCCACATTGGGTGTGGGGGCCTACTTAATAAAAGAAAAAAAAAAGGAAATTAGATGTGTCTTAGGAAAAATTTGAGGATAACTGATGAGATTCACAATTTAGTAGTAGCATGAGCTATTATTGGCTAAGGGAAAAGTAGACAAATAACTACAGGAAACCAGGAGAAGAAAAAAACGGAATCAACACAAAAAATCCTAGAGAAGGGTTCAGGCAGGTTTCTGGAGTTTCTAGCCATATAAGCCGGAAATCAGGTGTGGTGGGGATTTGTGAAGAGGACTTCCCAGGAAATCTAAGCCTCCTGGGTATCAAACTGCAAAAGCCCTGGGCCACGGTGCCCAGGGGAACTGCCAGGCAGCTGTGAAGGGCCTTGCTTTGTCAATTATGCAGTCTCATTAGCTGGTGATGACGGGGCTCACAAAGCACACATCTCAAGTACCTTGCCAATTTTGGGTACTGTTTGATGCTTGTTATTTCTTTCACAAGTCACACAACCTCAAAGAAGGTAGGTACTTTTCGGTTCCTGGGACTTGGAGTCCCAGAGCAGTTTTCACCTGGGAGCTCCCAGTATAAGACAGGCAGTGTTCCAACAGTTCACATACAATAGCTCTTTAATAACTAATTTTTAAAACATGTTTATTTATTTTAAGAGAGAGAAAGTGTGCATGCAGGAATGGGGAAGGAGCAGAGAGAGAGATAATTCCAAGCAGGCCCCTTGCTGTCAGTGCAGAGCCCAACACAGGACTCAATCTACTGATTGTGAGATCATGATCTGAGCTGATATCAAGAGTTCGATGCTTAGCCAACTGAGCTACCCAGGCACTCTTTTAATAACTAATAAATAATGGTTCTATTATCTCCATTTTACAGATGAAGAAACTGAGGCTATTTGCCTCAAGTAGAAATGACACAACCAGGATTTGAATCCAGGTAGTCTGGTTCAAGAGTCTGTATTCTTTTTTTTTTTTTTTAATATTTTTTTATTTATTTCTAGGAGAGAGAGAGAGAGAGAGACAGCGTGAGCAGGGGAGGGTCAGAGAGAGAGGGAGACACAGACTCTGAAACAGGCTCCAGGCTCTGAGCTGGCAGTCCGCACAGAGCCCGACGCGGGTCTCGAACCCACGAACCGCGAGATCATGACCTAAGCGAAAGTCGGACGCTTAACCGACTAAGCCACCCAGGCGCCCCCAAGAGTCTGTATTCTTAATCCTTCCATGACTCCATTTTCTTTTTTTAAACACTTTTGTTTATTTCTGAGAGACACAGAGAGACAGAACGTGATCAGGGGAGGGGCAGACAGAGAGGGAGACACAGAATCCAATGCAGGCTCCAGGCTCTGATCTGTCAGCACAGAGCCTGAGGTGGGGCTCGAACTGTGTGATCATGACCTGAGCTGGAGGCTTAACCAACTGAGCCACCCAGGTGCCCCCATTACTCCATTTTCTTAAATTAATTACAAGGATCAGGCGGGGGGAGGAGGGGGGAGGGGAGAAGAAGAAAGACACGATAAATGGATCCTATAAATGCCACCATTTAGTTCAATAAGCAGCGTCTGAAGAAACTACACACTCCTGGGCTGTGGTTCCTTCACACTGTGCCAGGGGAGTGGAGAAGCTGAACAGGTTATTTCTGTACAATGTGATAACACTGTTTAACAGGAAAGTCCACTGGTGCACGACAGAAATTCCTGTGTTCCCAAGCACATACCCAACGTGGAAAGTTACTGAGTTAAAGTGGCTGTCCATTAAGGCACAGACTGATTCAAAGACCAACTATTGTGGAGCCCATTGTCACTCTGCTTCGATAAAACTAAGCTTGTTTTTACAAGACTGTTCTGGAAAAGTGAAATTTAAACAAATTCACAACCCTACTAGGTTTTTGGTCTCTGTTGTTTGCTTTAAAGAGCGCAAAACACTCAAGCAAACTTTAAATAAAAACATTAAGCCCTGCAATAAAAAATTAAGCCGAAAATATTCCACTAGTTAAATTACTTCTACTTTTGCTGTCTGCTTTAAAGTTTTTGCAGTGAAATGGCTGGAAATATTTTACGCTAAAATCCGCAGAATGATGACTAATCTCCTATTCGCGCCTGTTTATTAAATTGCCTAATGGCAGCTACGGAGCTAGTGGAAGTAAATACCTTATCCCAAAAGCTTTTGCTTTAAACGAATGAGAAGCAAGTGCTTTCCAACAAATACCAAAGAAGTGTGTCCCCAGGAATTCCAGAGGGGCAGCGAATTCTAATGGGTCCTTATTCTAGTGGGTTCCTGTTCCCTGCGTAGGGCCTGGGAGCCAAGGCGGGTGGCGAAAGGTCAGCGGGGCTTTTCAGGCTGGAGGGGGTGGGTCGCCCCTCAGGGTGGGCTGTCGCCTCCCCGCCCCGGTCCGCCGGCCGTGGCCGAAAGGAGCGCCGGGACCGACACCCAGTCGCTCGCGGCGTCCGGGCAGCGAGTCCGCGCCCAGCGGGCGGCTCCCTCACCCCTCTGGAGGTTGCGGACCCCGGATACGCCCCCAGATGCGCCCCAGAGCTAGCACAGCCTGGCCTCTGCTGGAGCTCAAAAAAACACAAAAAACAACAAAGCGAGTGGCTGGGGAAAGGGGCCGGCGCGGTGGGCGCGGGGCTGAGCGCACGCCTTGCTCCGAGCCCCGGCGCCGCCAGTGAGCCCCGCCGGCCAGCCCGGGTCCCCACAAAGGCCACGCAGCCCCGTTTCCTCTGGGGTGGGGATCTGAGAAACCCTAAGCCAAGGGAAGCCCCTGGCCAGGGGCAACCGCCGCGGTCCGAGCCGGGACTAAAGGCTGGCCCCGGCGCAGGAGCCTCAGACTTTTCCTTCGGGGGAGGGGGGGTGGGGGTATGATGGCAGGTCCGGGAAACAAAGGAAACTTGGACCCGGCCCCGTGAGCGGCGTGTGTGGTTCGCGAGTTCGCCCCGGGTCCTGTGTGGGAGTCGCCGGGCGCCAGTGCCAGCCTGCACGCAGTCGGCGCGGGGAAACACAAAGCAGCACGGCAGCAGCCGGCGGCGCCCTGCCGCCCACCTGCCGCCCACCTGCCGCGGCCCGGCCGCCCCGGGGTCTCCCGGGCGGCGGCGGAGGGAGGGGGCGCCGGGGAGCGCGGCGGGGGAGGGGGCGGGGAGGCGGCCGACGGGCGCGCGCGGGGGGCGGTGGCGGCGGAGGAGGGGAGCGCGGGTGGGTGGGCGGTCGGCGCCACGTCACGGCTATTGTGGCTGTCCCGGTATATAAGGTCCCGCCGGCCGGCCGCCCGCCCCACCTTGCCTGCGCCCGCCCCGAGCCAGCGGTTCTCCACTCACCCCGCATCCAGTGAGACGCGCCGCGCACCGACGCCGACGGAGCGGACATGGGCAGAGCGATGGTGGCCAGGCTGGGACTGGGGCTGCTGCTTCTGGCGCTGCTCCTACCCACGCAGGTGAGGTGCTGGCGCTCGAGGGGCTCGGGGGGCCGCGCCTGACGGGGGGGGAGCCACCCCCAGGGGACGGGCATGCGCCCCCACCGCGGGCCGCGGACTGGGGCGCAGAGAGAGGATCCCACCTAATCCAGCCTGGGGGAGGGCAGCGTGGAGCCCCCTCTCCGCTCCCTGGCGGGCCGCCCCCACCCTCCAAGGCCCTGGGAACAAAGCACCTCTGCGCGTGGGCTGGGAGGCCCCTGTCCTAAGTCCCAGGCAGCTTCTTCCGAGGCCGACTGGCGCCCGCCACCCGCTTTGACCCAGAGGTCCGAGGTACTAGCAGAGAGAACGAGCCCTTCCCACCTCTGGAGCGCCCGGAGACCCCAGGCTATACCGGGAGGGCGTCCCGCTTCCCTCTAGGAGTGTCTGCGCGCCCCTTGCGCACACACAAAGAGGGGACGATCCCCTTCGGGGACGCAGCTCTCAACCCCCTCCTCCACTCAGCTGGTTCGGGGATGCCGAGGAAGCCCCGGCCTTCTGGCCCTGTTAACCCACCCCAGTCCGCGTGGGTCTGGCTGAAGCCTGGGCGGGGACCCGCTCCGGACCCTGCGCTCCCCCGCGTACGACCTTACATGACACGTCCACCTCTTGTCACCTCGGAATCCCATAGTAGCTCCCATCGGCTACCTCTGGGCGGGCGGCGGGTGGGACGTTTGCGTCCCAAGACCCCGCCAGGCTTTGTCTCGGTCCCCGCCGCCCCCTCCCCAGAGCCTCTATCCAGGGAACCGCCTCGTGTCAGCGCGGTTACGCGGACCGCGCTGCCCCGCAGGTGGGTGCGCAGCGGTCTCGAGGGAGGCTAGGGGCTGAGCCCGGGAGACCCGAGCGGGAGGGCGCTGGGGGAGGAGGGGGGAGGCGAGAAGGGCCATTTGTCTCCAGCACCTCGCGCTCGGAGGGCACGGGTGGAAACGAGGGGCTCCCCACCGCTTTCAATTGGAGCTTTATGAGGAGTGTCTCCCGAGTTTTTCCTCCGAGAAGTTGGGTGCGACGGGTCTTTGGTCCCCAGACACCCAGCCTCCGTGCTCACCTGGGAACGCAGGCCGAGAGAGGAGCGCACCTCGGCTTCCCCTCCGCGGGCCGGGTAACTGTACCCTATTGTCTTGCGGGTCGCCTGCGTTCCCGAGCCTTTCACAATTCCTCGGTGGGGGAGGGGCGCGGCCGCAGGAAACGAAATGTGCTCCCCCACCCGCACCCCATATCCTTTCTAACCAGCTTCCCCCAGCCCCGGAGACATTTCAAGAGGGGGGTTTAGTTAAGCAAATGTAATTTGGTATGGAAAAATTTTGTTTAATGTCAATTTAATATATTAACATTAGTTTCTTTTGTTGGTGTAGAGGACCCTAAGATTCTCTTGTTGATACACTAGGCTCTGACAAAGGTCACCTGCTGCACTACAGCTCTTTGTATGAATGATAACAGATACCCGTCAGGCATCCCAAACCAGGTCTTGAACCCAAACAGCACCCTGGTTTAAGTAATTTACCATATTGGTGCTTTTCTTTTAGTAGGAGTGCTATTTCCTGTTAGGACAAACAGATTCTTGCACACAGTAGGTGCCCAATACATGTGTTTGATCTGATTGAGAATTTTCTTTAATTTTGGATAGGATTTATGCATTTTTAAGTCCATATTTGCTTAATGACAGGTTTTACAACAAAGAGAGCTAATGTGATATAGAATGGGTTTATCTTTGGATCACAGGCAGCTAAGTGTACATGTGGCCCAGACCTGGTGCCACATCCTCCCTCCTGCCTGTAATCAGAAGCCCTTGTAAAGCCTCCCTCAGCTGTGAGAGCTGAAATCTCCCATCTGCCTTTGTTCTGTGACAAAGAAGAGATTATCACGTGCTCTGATGGACTGTGCATTTGGTGACTTGAAAAATCAGCATGGTGAATGATGCCACTCAGGCCCTGGGACACTGGGGCAACCTTGGTTCTTGGCCGCAGCAATGAGCTTAATGACCAGGCAGGGAAGCTGCTGCTGGTGAAAATTTAACACCAAACCCTCGGCATTTTCTGTGAAGTCGTCGTGACTTCATGGTGTTTGGGGAGAAGTAATTTTGCTTCAAACAAAGGCTTCCTATTTTTTCAATTTAAAACCAATACTGTGGCCGTTTTTGAGAAGGGCCATTTGAAGATTTTAAGGGAGCAGAGAAGATATCCCATGACCCCTTTAAATCTGAGGCTGTTAAATGGGTGTGTGGAAGTTACTTAGCAAATCCAGGATAGACAGAGCCATAATTCTAATATTCCAGTATTGTAGAATTTTCCAATATTGTAGGATCCAAGTTATTCATGCAACTTGAAAATCTTCCCCTTTCTGGTAAAACAGAGGAAATCTTTTTGTAATGCCAGTACGTCAATATAATCACAAAAACTAGACTTGGTCCTTTATTACTTCAGAAAGAATAAAAAATAAAATCCGACTCTTGGGAGTTATAGTTACTGAGGAATATTTTTGTTTGTTTTTGGTTGTTATTATTTGCAGTCATTTAGGCATCTTTAGGTTGCTTTGAAGCTAAAAGAATGATCTTAGACTAAGCAAGAATTCAGAATTAAATGATGGGGTAAGGAAATAATAGGAAAGAGCAATCTAAGAATCTATCTTCTATCTTAATTGCATATTACGTGTACATAGAGGCAGCTGTGATGTGTGTAAATTTATCAATGTAACTTTTTATGTATTTTAGATTTATTCAAATCAAACAACTGTTGTAACGCTTTCGAGTAACCCCTCCCAGAATACCTCGACCGCCCCAAATCCAGCTAATGCCACCACCACACCAAATGGCGGTGCTCTCCAGTCAACAGCCAGTCTCTTCGCGATCTCGCTCTCCCTTCTACACCTCTACTGTTAAGAGACTCAGGCCAAGAAACATCTATACTTCCCCATCTTCTAAACCTAATCCAAATGGCGTCTAGACATCTGGTGTGACGAGGAAAAAACAGGTCTTCAGTGAATCTGCTGATTCCACACCTTATTTTATTGACCCAGAAAATGTTGAGGATCCCAAATTCGATTGGTTTGAAGAACATGTGAAGGGTTTGACTAGATGATGAATGTCTGTTAAATCTACTGGAGTTTCATGTACAAGATGAAGAGACAACATCCAAGAGTAGTTAAGAGGTGATTTCTTTAAATGTGGCTTAAGAAGTATGGACACCTAAAATTTCACCTTGAAAATGAGCATAGATTTTATCTTACCTAGATATAAAGGATGGGATGTGAACAGATTCCGTTTTCATTTGGCTCATTAAATCTTTAAGTCCATGATTCTATTTATATGTACATTAGAAGGAACTTCCAGGTGTCACTGTAAATCCTCAATGCGTTGTTTCAGCAGTACTAATTTAATGCCTATGTACTCTAGATAAAGTTTTACATTGTTAAGCTATCACTGTTTCTTGGGAACTGAACTCTTTCCTCTGAGGCTTTGGATTTGACATTGCATTTGATTTTTTTATATAGTAATTGACATGTGCCAGGGCAATGATGGATTGGAATCTACCCCGGATTGAAGCATAATGAGTAAATTTTGCTTGTATACTATCACTTATCCCTGTTCAACAGTGCCAGATTCATTTAGCTAAACTGATTCCAAAGAGTAGAAGTACATTGACTTCAACTAATTTAAGAACGCTTTGTATTTCTGCATATGTTGAATGCTTTTTACAGCTTAAAAAACGATCTGTTTTGAAGGTAAAATTGACAAATCTTGACATTGAAAAGGCAAAATATGTGCGGGAGCCAAAATTGTAAATCAAGTATTTGGGAAGTTGGAATATTGGAAACTTGCTTACATTAAATTTGGAAAAAAACTTTTATACTCTTTCTGTAAATACTTTTTTTTTAAACTCTGAATCAGAATAGCCACATTTGGAACACTTTCTGTTAGTCAATATTTTTAGATAGTTAGAACCTGGTCCTAAGCCTAAAGTGGGCTTGAGTCTGGAAAGTAAATCTTTTCACAACTGCCTCGATGCACAGAAAGCTTTTTAAAAATAGACACTTGAAGGTCTTTTGTTCGCATGGTCACACACTGATGCTTAGATGTTCCACTATCTAATATGGCCACAGTAGTCTTGATAACCAAAGTCCTTTTTTCCCATCTTTAGGAACCCACACCAGAACAATCGTATCCAACAGATCTCAAGCTACTGTGTGTGTGAATGAACATTCCATTTTGTTTCATACCTGAATGCTGTACATCTATTTTGGATTGTATATTGTGTTTGTGTATTTATGCTTTGATTCATAGTAACTTCTCATGTTATGGAATTGATTTGCATTGAACACAAACTGTAAATAAAAAGAAATGGCTGAAAAAGCAGTCTGTTGAATTTTAAGTTTTTCTGATGCAGGGGCTATTTTGTGGGGTATCATGGTTGTAGGAGTCTCTGTAAGCCATTAAGAATAGGTCGATATTTTCCTATTAACCAGAACATTATAGTTAAACTGTTTGGAACTGCTAACTAGTAGAAGATTTTGACCAAAGAATTCATCTAGATGTTGACATCTTTAAGCTCTTATGGAAAGGAGCACTCCTAGTTATTCAACAGCTATTGAATGCCAGCTATATTCCAGGATACTGAAGATTGAATGATGAACTTGCTTGAAAATTGACTACTGCACTTCCTGGACAAGGCTATTTTACTTTGGTTGGGAAAGAGTATGTGTATGACAGGCAGTATACTGTCACGTCGTGCTGTGAAAACCAGCCAGGGTGGTGAGTCATGGGCCCTGGGCTGAATGATTATGAATGGTCTTGAGCACTTGAGCTGAGATCTGGAGGACCATTTCTGACAGGAAACGTGCCAAGTCCCCGAATCTGTTTAGTTACTGCCACTGTTTTCATCTGTACTGAGGTCCACAAGTCACTTTGTTTTCCCAGGCTGTCACTTTTATCTGCCCCTTTCATATTCTAGGATTCTTTGACCCTTCCAACTGTATTCCTGGACTGCTAGCTCTAGCTTCTTTATTGCTGCTCAGGAACCACCAGAAAGATAGGATGGAATTTGGGAATACGTGGGAGCTAGTCCACAGGTGCAGTTTCTTCAAGGGATCAGTCCTATTAAAGTATTTCAGCTGATGGAATCAGGCCTACCCAGAGTAGGATAGTCTAAACTCAACTGATAACAGATATTAAAAACATTTATGAAATATTTTATGGCACCTAGGTTAGTGATGTTTGGTTGAGTAATGGGACTACTCAAGTTGTCCAGTGAACTATTATAGAGTCCACCTCTGGTCAACCTGGCACTCATACTCCACTCTGAACTATACTTAATCCCCAATTAAGGACAATAGCTAGGTAGGTTCTTAAGTCTAACATGATAGACCTATCCTGCCTACAACCCAAAATAACCCTTTAAGTAGAAGAGGACGCAAACTGGGTCATGCTCACTCTTGATAACTCACATAAATGCTGTGATATAAAGTTAACTGCTATTAGTACATATGTTAGATGATAATGAAACAAGAAGGAAGAAAACAAATTTGCTATTTGTGAATGTATTTGTGTGTGTGTGTGTATGTGTGTGTATACAGCATAAGGAACTATAACTTAGTCCTAATTTCAGCAACTGGTCACATGGCTATAGCTGTTATTTATAGCTGCGTTCCATCCTCCATTCCACATTTCCTTTACCCTCAGCAAGTATTTCAACCTGGAGAGGTGACCCAAACATTTGCCTGAATTTGGTTTGGTTTTTCTACTGACTTCCATCACAGGACATGATAGTACTAAAAGATGTCCTAACAGATCTGTATTCCAGACATCCTCTTCCTTAACCTTCATTGTGTGGTAGCAACCAAATTTTCCCTTGGTAGTCAGGATCAATCACTCCAACTAGTACAGTAACTCCCTACTCTGTTGTTTCAGAGGCTTGTGGAGCTCAAAGTGTTTGGGTGAGGGGCGCCTGGGTGGCTTAGTCAGTTAAGCGTCTGACTTTCGCTTGGGTCATGATCTCGTGGTTCGTGGGTTCGAGCCCCGCGTCGGGCTCTGTGCTGGCTGCCAGCTCAGAGCCTGGAGCCTGTTTCAGTCTGTGACTCCCTCTCTCTCTGACCCTCCCCTGCTCACTCTCTCTCTCTAGAAATAAATAAAAAAAAAAAAAAGAAAAAAGAAAAAAAAAATAAATCTTAAAAAAAAAAAAAAAAGTGTTTGGGTGACAATCTCAACTTCTGGTTCAATGGAGTTATTGCTGTGTCTTCTGGTGGAAGCCACTCCTCCCACTTAGAACTAAGATTTCTAGGCCAGCAGAGCATAAGAGCTTAGGGGTAGGACGCATGTATTTTGTTAGTGGATCACATATTAGCGATAATAGTGACTGGTGCCACTTCTTTCTTTACTTCTCGATTCTTGGATCTGTGAATCGTGGCCATGGGAGAAATAGCACCATGGTTACACCCTATAAAGCCCGAATTCAAAGTCGTAGCCCTGAAGATTTGCCACTTAGCTGGAGCTGTAACTTGAGGTTTCAAAAGGCCATTATTCTAAATCCAGTTGGTTCAGGATGGCAGAGAAAATGGTAAGACCAGTGAGTTACATGGACATGGGCCCATTGCCATACACCATTAGCTGAGTTCCTTGACCAGAAACAACATGTGAATCACCGTGATGGTGGATAAGATATACTGTAAATCGACAGATGGTAATTTTGGCAAGAACATATGCAGGAAAGGCAAATCCTTATACAGAATAAGTGTCTATTCATTAAGAACAAAATGCAGCTACTTCTTCCAATAGGGTAGTGGTCCAATGTAATCTATATTGTACCTGGCTGATCACAGCAAGGAATGGTGCCATATAAGGAACTCACTATTGGTCTGTGCTGCAACAGTTTGGGTACTCAGCAGTGCCTGTAGCCATGTCAACCTTAGTACAAATCCATGTTGCTGGGCATATGCATAACCTCCATCCTTGCCAACATGGTCACTTTGTTCATGAGCCCATTGAGTGATGACAGGGATGTCAAGGGAAAGAAGCTGACTGGTATACACAGAATAGGCCATCTCGTCCACTTGAGTTTTAAAAACCCTCCTCTGCTGAGGCCGCCTTTTGATGAATATTAACTTTGGACACAAATATTTTTTTCTTTAAGTTTATTTTGAGAGAGACAGAGACAGTGTGAGTGGGGGAGGGGCAGAGAGAGGAGACAGAGAATCCCAAGCAGGCTCTGCACAATCAGTGCAGAGGAGCCCGACCCAGGGCTCGAACCTATAAAACCATGAGATCATGACGTGGGCCGAAACCAAGAGTTGGATGCTTAACTGACTGAGGCACCTCAGCGCCCCTGGGACACAAATACTTTAACAATCTCATCCCATTCAGAGATGTCTCCTCATATGCCTCTTTCCCAGCCTTTCTTCTTACCAGTTTCGTAACCATATTGTTTCCAAGTGCATCCAGCCAAACTGTTGGCCACAACCCATAAGCTGGTATGATTCACATCTCTGAAAGGTCATTTCTCTTTCCAAGCAACATGAACAGTTAGGTGCAGTGCTTGTAATTTTGCCTACTGGAGTATTCCCCTTTACCACTGTCCTTCAGGGATGCCCCAGAAGGGAGTTGTAGGGTTGCAGCAGTCTACTTTGCTGTGGTGCCTGCATACTGTGCAGAACCTGTAATCAGGACTAAGTTTTCCCCAGTCAACTGGTCATGGGGAACTCCCCATGAAGCCACAGGTGCAGGCTGGGAAAGAGAAGGTAATGTCACAGGAATAGTGGGCATTTAAACACTTCCTCATGTAATTTGTATCTTCAGAGGCTGCTCAAGCCCAATGTTGTATATACCACTTTAATTTGACAATGACGTGCTGCTGTGTACATCCAACTTTATGACTTGGTGTGTTAGATCACACCCGCTCATGACAGGCAGCTCAGTGTGTGTGGTAGTCTGTGGTTAAGCAATTAGTGTTTTTGTTTTGTTTTGTTTTTAAGTTTATTTATTTATTGCAAGAGAGACAGAGAGAGCAAGTGGGGTGGGGCAGAGAGAGAAAAATCCCAAGCCGGCTCTGTATTGTCAGCACAGAACTCCATGTGGGGCTCAAACACACAAAATGCAAGACCATGACCTGAGCCGAAACCAAGATTTGAATGCTT